TGATAAGCAGTAGATATAAAGTTTTAGTTATGCAAGATGATTGAGTTGTAGAGATTTTTTATAAAACATTGTGCTTATAATCACTATTACTGTATTTTATGCCTTAATATTGGTGAAATAGTGTTCAAAGTGTAGATCACATTTTTTTTCTTTACAAAATAAAAAATAAATGAAAAGATACAGAAAACCGGAAAAAGTTTGTATATAATTTGTAGTGAATGCCTCTAGACAGGGTGGAGGGAATGGGAATGGGGAAAAAGAATTAGTGCATATTCAATTTATATGTAATAAATATATTACCTTAAAATAATGAATGTTATGTGACAAAACTATTCTTAAGGTGGGGATGAAAATACGGTGCCTGTAATATTATTTTCTACACATTTATACGTGTGTGTATATATATGTATGTAGACATGTATGTGTTTCTTACAAATGCTTTGAAAGATGATATTTTTGATCTTGGATGGTCATATCTTTTCTTCAAATTTATCTGCTTAACCAAAGTAAGTTTATTATATAGCATACTCAGAAGTTAGGAAGGAAAAATATATCTTGTACAATAAATAAGTTTCAAATGAGAGACCAAATTATAATATAAATCATCAATAATGATGGAAAATGTAAAGGTAATATTTTTTTTTTAAATTATATGACATTGTGAGAACATTAAATAGAGAAGTTAGAAGAGCTGATGAGGGGTTGAACTCCTTTTGACTGACCAGGGTACAGACTAACTTCAGTAACATGACAGACAACCTACAAATGACCTTTCAGAGGAGGTAACAACACAACCTTCCTGTGGATACTTGGACTTTGGAAAGGACCTCAAGGATTTCAATTCATTCTCATGAGTAACTTAAGATGTGTCAATATCTTTGTTATTTCCTCTTTCTGGTCCAGAATTTGACTGTTACTTCAAAAATGGTAGAGCCTAGAATGTGCTACACCTATGTTAGATATTAGGAACACCAAAATGAAGAAGGAACAGTGTGTCCTGCCATAAAGCAGCAAATATTCTAGAATGATATGCAAGTTGTCAGGGTTTTTTCGTTGTTGTTGTTGTTTTTTAAGATTATTTCTTTATTTGGCAGACAGATCACAAGTAGGCAGAGAGGCAAGCAGATAGAGAGGGGAAAGCAGACTCCCTGCTGAGCGGAGAGCCTGATTCGGGGCTCGATTCCAGGACCCTGGGATCATGAGCCAAATGCAGAGGCTTTAACCCACTCAACCACTCAGGCGCCTCTGTCATTGTTTCTGTATCAAAGTTAAAATCGCATTAATGATAGATGGCAGAGCTGAAAATAAAACCTCATACTTTATCTCAGAATTTTAAGATGGATATTATATTCACTCATTCACTTATTCATCATTCATTGCATCAGTCAGTAAATCAGCAAATATCTTTTGAACACCTACTCTTTCTTGGGTATTATTTTAGACGGCATTAATACAAACTATTTAGACATGCCCTTTTTACTTATAAAGCTTACAGACTAGAAAATCTAGCACAAGAGTAATATAAAAATATTGTGAATACTAAATCATTATATTATACATGCTTGAGGAAAGATCACAAGATTATATGAAGAATATATTCTCCATTAAATAATTTTAATTAAAAAAACAGCAACAAGATCAGGCATATGATGGGTGCCTTCTGAAAGCCTCTAACATAACTGACGTTTAGTCTTCTTGCAAACATGCACATTTTGAATTTATGCTCTATGTCATCTGAATATCATGACAGATACACCAAGGCTTGTTCTTGACTAGAATGGAGCCTTTGCCTTCAGTTCTATTCCCAACATTCACAGTAAAATGGAACACTGGAGCCAGAATCCTGGGCTTCTAATTGTTGGATTTTCTCCACCCCAGGGCCAGCAGCCACACTTCTCAACCACCACAGGGAACAATTCAAAAGAAACAAACACCCAAAGGGTGGACTCCTTGCATGAGATTGTTCCTCAATAGGATCATCTAAGCAAATCCCTAGGCTGGCCCCACATTTTCACTCTCTGGGTGCAATTCTTATGTGGAGACTTGCATAATTGGTCTTTCTTTCCCTGAGGAACCAGAACTTTATCTGGGAATTCCTGTTTTCATGCGTGGGGCCTGGATCCATAAACAGGCTTATTCCAGTGTGCAGGTCTTCAGGGACATCAGACACAGGTAAATTTCTTCAGCATGCCTCCTGCAGAACTTTCACAGTGGGTCTCAGCAGATCTCTGGGCAGGTAGGTTCACCCCAACCATTTACTTAGTACTCATCCTGGATGTGAAGACCATGTATCTTGGGAAATTTATGGATTCAAATCAGACTCAGGACTGACTGGGGTCTTAACTCCCTGTTCTCTGAAGGCGAAGTGGCAGGGACAGAGAAATGACTCAAAGCATGGTCCCCAGCACCCCTGCTGGTAAATTAGACAGTTTGAGCATTTCTACAGAGAAATGAAGAGTCCTTATGAGGATTCTATCTCACCTTAGGATAAAGAGGAATTTTTCTGCCTTAGAGCTGGCAGACTGATGTTTTAGAAGGCCCTCTATACCAGACAGGAAGCTTCTTAAGTAATTTGAAATATCTGATTTCTTCTCCAAGATGGATCTAATAAATTGTTAAACATCAAGAAAAATAAGTTTCTCCCCTTCTGGATGTTCACATTGCCCAGAGTGACAAACCCTATGATGGAAAGAAAGGTTCCCTGATGTCAGCTGGTAGGCTTTCAGATGCTGGTGGACACTGACAGCTCCTGTCAAGGTGTCGTTTGTCCTCAAAACAACTCAGGTTTAAATAAGTTTAAGACAAAACGTACAGTTAGAGACCAATAGAAGATTTCTTGAAATCATTTCAGTAACTATTTAAAAAAATTGCAGTATGATTTCTCCACCTAATTGTAATATAAATGATGAACATTAGGTACATTTTTAAAGTTCTTTTCCTGACATGCTAGTATTTTGGCAGACTTATAAAATATTTCTTTTTAGCAACAAACTTAAAATAAGTTGTGTCAAAAACTAACATAGCCTTATCAAAAATAATTAAATCAGAAACCTTTCTGAAGAAATAAAAGAAAAATACTTCATTTCAGTGATATATGCTTACCAAAATAAAACACAATCCTAACTTTGTCATTCGTAATATTTTCTTTAAAAAAAGGAATTAATAAGTGGTGATGATCTATGCAAATATTTCTTTCTAAAAGCTAATTGCAGAAATTCATAGTACACAATCAACAATGACATTTTTGTTTTTTTTTTTTTGCTTTGATAAATTAAAGATACAATTATTGAGTGAATTATATCTCATGGTGAACCATGTACTGAACTCTTTTAGAAGCACACAAACAGGAAATGTTTTATTTAAAGTGAGTGTCACCTCTGTATTTTCCACCTTAAACTCATCTGTGTATTTCTTACAGATATGGTGGCAGGAGAAAAGAGATATGAAATATCTAGTGCCACACAGTCATATAACCTCATCAGACATATATTTGATGTATGAAATAAAGTATCATTGATTCAACAAACACCACAGATTTAAGAAAGCTCCCAGCCTGATTCTTTTGTTAAATATATACCTAGATATCATGTGTCCCAGTTGCTTGGATATGCAAAATTTTAGTTCACCTGTTATTTCCATTTTAACTATGAAACTCTTCAGTGAGGTAAAATGAGTTAGTGGGATACAAATAGGAAACCACATTAGAAAATTGTTCAAAACATGCTAATAACAAGAACTGCTGGCACCAAATATCTTACTGTTATCAGGCTCTGTACTAACCCATGTTTGTGTAGTATCTCATTATATTCACACAAGAATATAAATACTTGATAAAAATCCCACAGCTAATAACTGGTGACCTAACTTCCAGCCAACCAAGTGACCAAAGAAACAAGTAAACAAAACACATAAAGTAAAACCATAAAACTACAGCAACAATCAATATTCTACAGACTCTTTGCATGACAATCTCATTGAGCCACAACTGTCTTATCAGACATAGAAATAATTACATGTGTTCTTGGACACTCCTGCAGAATAATGAGATCATTATTTTGAAATGGCTAGCATTGTTCTGGGTCTAGAGTATAGTAAATAATGAATAAATTAGCACTTCTCTCCAATCATTTCTCTATAAAAGAAAAACAAAGTAATCAAATTTGAGCAAATCAAAACTAAAGTAATATTTCTTTTAAACATCCAAACAGGCATTAAACAATTTAAAGGAAAGAAGCATTTGATGGAAAAAAAGAAATGGCTGCCAGAACATAATAATAGAGATGTTTCTGAACAGGTAAAGATCAGAGCGATAGAAAAGACTAGTTTATTTGGCCAAAGAAATGTGATTACTTTAAAAAATCAGCTTCTGAATAACACTAAGAAGGAAGACTACTGAGGTACAGTCTGTCAGTGAACAGCTGAATCAGCGTGGTATGGTAGAAACTGATAAGGAAAAAGAAAAACAAAACAAAACAGCAGAGTCAAAGCATTTTTGACAGGAATATAGAATTCCCAAAGATGATGACAAGGTATAGACTAAAGAGAAAACCAGTGACAGCTAAGGAGAAAATAACTGAAAGTCCCTGGAGGTCACTCTGGCTCATTAACTTCTTATACAGAGCTATCTTTTATCACTGGAAGCATACACAGATACATGTGTATATGTAAATACATATTCATGAAATAGTATATTAAAATACACAAATATATATCAATACATATAATAGATTTTGTATACTCAACTAATACAAATTATATCTAACACAATTGAAAACAGCTTTGTACAACACTTTTAACATGAAATTAGTCTCTAGAAAGTGTGTATTTCTGAATTTAAGATTATGAGAAATATAATTAAAATATGACACTTTTACCTGTGACCAGAAATTATCCAATTTATATGAGACAGTCTACAACCTAGCATCTACCAGAAAAATCAATTTGACCATCTATTAATCTCCTTCCATTTTCCCCATTAAAAGATGAGAACAACAAAATAAATGGCCTCAGAAAATCTCACCCAGGTGACTGAGTTCATTCTCATGGGAGTCTCAGATCACCCAGACCTCCAGATTCCACTCTTCTTTGTTTTCCTGCTGATCTATGGACTGACCATGGCAGGGAACCTGGGCATCATCACCCTCACCAGTGTTGACTCTCAGCTCCAAACGCCCATGTACTTCTTCCTCAGGCACTTGGCTATCATCAATCTTGGCGATTCTACTGTCATTGCCCCCAAAATGCTGGTAAACTTCTTGGTTACAAAGAAAACCATATCCTACTATGGATGTGCAGCCCAGTTGGGTGGGTTCCTGGTTTTCATAGTTGGGGAGATTTTCATGCTGGCTGCAATGGCATATGATCGTTACGTGGCTATTTGCAACCCCCTGCTCTACATGGTGGTGGTCTCCCCACAGATCTGCATACTGCTGGTGTCCCTCACTTACCTCTACAGTCTGACCACAGCACTGACTGTCTCCTCCTGTGTATTCTCTGTGTCATACTGCTCTTCCAATGTAATCAACCATTTTTACTGTGATACTGTTCCTTTGCTGGCGTTGTCCTGTTCTGATACCTACCTTCCAGAAACAACAATATTTATCTCTGCAGGGACCAATTTGATATTCTCTATGATTATTGTTCTAACATCGTACTTCAACATTGTCCTTGCCATTTTGAGGATCCGTTCCTCAGAGGGCCGACGAAAAGCCTTTTCCACCTGTGCCTCTCATATCATGGCTGTCACTGTGTTCTATGGGACAATTCTTTTCATGTATTTGCAACCAAGGACCAACCACTCCTTAGATACTGATAAAATGGCCTCTGTCTTCTACACCCTGGTGATACCAATGCTGAATCCCCTTATATACAGCCTAAGGAACAAAGATGTGAAGGATGCATTCAAGAGATTCCTAAATAACCCTTGTCAGTCTTTCAGATTAATGTAAATTTAAAGCTTCAGTTGTCTTCATAAAAGTGTTTTCATTTGCTCCTATAAAGCTAATCTCTGTTAAATGCAGAGGTAATAAATATTTCAAAATTCCGTGGATTTCAATGGGAAAATCTTAACCCTTTATTTTCCAACCTCAAATACCCAACTTTTGCTAATACAAAGATGTGTTAGCTGACCAAAGAAAGTATACTTATATAAGTAGTAAACAATAATTTCAGAAAAAGCACATTTTACAATCAAACACAACTTGCTACTGGGCTTTTATAATTTCTAATCAAGGAACAGGAAGTCTGAAATTGGGGAAATTATGTGAAAACCAGTCCTTGGATGTTGGTCAAGAGTCAGGTCATCTTTCTTGCCATAGATCAGTTTTGTTCAACTACAAAAGGTTTTATTTTACTTTTTGTTTATTTTATCTTTCAATTTGTTTACCTTTTTTTTTTGTAAAGATTTTATTCATTTATTTGACAGAGAGAGATCACAAGTAGGCAGAGAGAGAGAGAGGGAAGCAGGCTCCCTGCTGAGCAGAGAGCCTGATGCGGGACTCGATCCCAGGACCCTGAGATTATGACCTGAGCCGAAGGCAGTGGCTCAACCCACTGAGCCACCCAGGCATCCCTCAATTTGTTTACCTTTTAAAATCCACTTTTATCTTGTACTTCACATAAATTTATATCACAGAAAAAGAAACCTTTAGGATAAAATAAAAACTGAACAAAAAAATGCTTAAATATACGGGAATAGGCCATGTAGCAAAACAGAAGAAAATTCATGAAGGGAGATTCCACTTTTTCATTCCTCTTGTGTGGTACATGTACATAAAACAAAATGTTGATATTTATCCTGACATGATATAAAATTAGTTTTCTCCAATCCTCTTTTTCTCCCTAATATTGTGTAGAGCTAATCATATGTGGCATAAAAATATAAAGCAAACGCTACTTCTTTTAGCATTTTTGTTTAGTGTTTTGCAGTCAAATGTTAGTAGACTAAAAGGAAAAAAAAAGTCATTGCCATTAAGGTGACAACAATTCTCAAGGGCACCACCACCAATAAATAAATAAATAAATATTCATTTTTATTCTATGCCCTCTTTCTATCTGTGCATGCAAAATGCTACTAACATACAACGTAATGAGGGAGACAGGGCGTGGCATGAGAGGTAAGGCAATACCTGGAAATAAAGTAGATTATGACATTCACAGGAAGTCAGAAACAAGCCAAACAGATGAAATGTGACACTTAGTTTCATAAGCTAACGCTTAACTTTAGTTTTAAATAAGCAAAATATCTAGCTGAAAACAGAAAAGTCACACTGTGTCACAGACATTACTCTTCACCACAGGCAGAAGTGGCAATAACTTGATAGCATTACCCTTAAAAATTTTTAAGTTTTCTTTTTTTATAAATATATAAAAGTATATAGTATAGATAATTTATTTTCTGTTTGTCTGGTTTACCTATTGCTGTATTTGGCTGTACCAGCCTACATCCATACAATTGGGGAAGTATATTCCTCAGCACAAAACCATTGTCTTTGAGTCTAGTTGTGAATGGAATTGGAGCAACATGTCTAAACTCACCCTTGCATGTCTACTAATCCTATGTATTTTATTCAATGAATTAAAGTCAAGAATGAAAACTGTAGTGCTTTCTACTTTTTAACTTTGTTTACTGTAAACTTTGTTTAACTTTGTCTACTTTTTAACTTTGTTACATATATGTTTTCTAAACATAATTATGTTGTCACTTGTATTAGTTTCCTACTGATACTACAACAAATCACCACTGATTCAGTGGCTTGAAACAACAGAAACTTATTATCCCACAGTTCTGAAGGTCAAAATTTCAAAAGGAGTCTCACTGGGCTACAACCAAGATGTCAGCAGATTTTGTTCCTTCCTGGATGGCCACGGAAGAATCTGTTTCTTTTCCTCTTCCAGCTTCTAGAGACAACCTTCATCCCTTGCTTGGCACACCCTTCCAAACAGTGATCCTATAACTCTGACCTCTACTTGCACTGCCACATCTCCTTCTGACTGAGACTCTCTTGCATCCCTCTCCTTCTTGGGATTACTTTGGTCCGACCCAGAGAGTTCAGAACAGCCTTCCCATCTGGAGGTCCTTAACTTAATCACGTCAGCAAATCTCTTTGTATGGAAGGCACCACGTCCACAGTTCTGGGCATCTTTGACAGGGTGGGAGACAGATTTCTGCCTCAATTATTTATATATATGGTGTGCTTTGTGAAACCAGGCAATCTAAAATCTTGCATGTTTCATTCACTAGTACTCAATGGGATGGTCTCATAAACCTTCCACTAATTGCCCCTCCTAAATTACTTAGCTACAAAGTTTGTCCTAAGTAAACTATACACAAAGCCCTCTTCTAATGAAGGATAAGCAGAATGTATTTAGTTCAAAGTTTCCTAAGTATATGCACACATACACATGCACTCACATATCACTTGCACACATTTATCAAAAAACAATAAAAAAAAACCAATCAACCAGTCAGGAAACTGTATCAGCCCAGTACCAGTTTCCCATGAAGTAAGGTATGGAAAATAATTCATATGACAGCTTTAATCTCCAACTGATCAAAGCTCACGCCCTATGAGATGCTAAGTCACCTGTACTTCCAGCTTATCCCTAACTGCTGCTAAAGTTCCATGACATTTGTGTCCAGTGACAACAAAATCCCTCTAGTGGTGAGGGGCAAGAGAAGATGCAAGACACAGCCCTAAAGCAAAGTCTGACAACACCTGAATGCTAGGACACACTTCAAACAGCCACAGGACCCCTCCTTCTGCAGCTGCCACAGAAGCAGTAGCTTTGACCTGATTCCATATATAGGGATGCTCGAGGCAGAAAGCATTACAAGTGCATAAATCTTGTGTGACAGACACTGAATTCTTTCAAGACCATGAAAATAAGAAAAACCACCAAACTTCCCCAAATTCAGCATAGTAAATGCCATTTCATGAATTTAATTAAAAGTTAAATTAAGAGACCATCTTGGTTACTCAGTGGGTTATGCATCAAAATCTTGATCTCAGGGTAATGTGTTCAAGCGTGCATCAGACGCAGCACCTAGCACGGAGTCTGCCTGAGATTCTCTCCCTCTCCTTCTGTCCCTCCCCTCGTTCACCCATGAAGTCTCTTTCTCCCAGATAAATAAATAAATAAGTTCTTTAAAAAAGTTAAACTGAGTAATTGTAAGTGTTCTAATGAAGATTTTCTTATCCCTTAAGGTCTAGGTAAGTTTAGATTGAGCTGCTAATGCCATCTCCTTGCAAGTCCATAAGTCTTCACCAGATGTCTACATGCCATGGGTCTCATCACCTCTGCTTTCCAAATTAATGTGCATCAGTCTTCGTTATAATGTCTGAACTTCTTTGTTTACATGGATCATAGTACACTTTTTTTTTTTCAAATCTTGACAAGTATTTGGATTCTTTTAAAAAATAAAGTATTAAATCAAGGAAAACTATATTAGCTCTATAAAGTTTATCTGATTTAATTATTTGCTGCAGCCTTTACCATTTGTTCAAGCAGTACATATTCATGAGTTGGACGTTCACAATATGAAAAGATGTGTACTGATGGTGGGATGTATGCAGTTTGAAGAAATCTTGGAATAGATCCATCCTTATGTAAATAAATGAAATGTGCTCTATTTATCCAAAAACAGGGCCTCAGGAGATACATCACAGACATGTTCATTCATGGGTCAGTGGGGACCACACACACAAAGTTAATTGTGGTGATGCATGTAGAGTCACAAGTTGGGAACTAGCTAAATGCTTCTTACTATGGCAGCAAACCTATAGTAAATGGGGGTAGAGACAGATTATAGCAATTTTATTAAACAGAAGCCAGCAAAATATTGTGTATACAGAAAATGAATAAAATTCAAAAACATATAGTTGATTGAGAACCTTGAGGAATCGAAATAAGTCATGTAACAACCTATGTGCGCACTTCAAAACATAAATTATATTCACTTTATAAAGCTGTGTTTCTTTTTTTAAAAATATTTATTTATTTAATTTAGAGTTTAAGAGGGAGAGTATGAGTGGGGGGAGGGGCAGAAGGAGAGGGAGAAAATCTCAAGCAGACTCCCCACTGAGTGTGGAGCCCAATGCAGGGCTCAATCTCTCCACCCTGTGATCACGACCTGAACTGAAACTAAGAGTTAGACACTTAACTGACTGAGCTACACAGGCACCCCATAAAGCTAAACTTCTTATTAAGAACATATATCAACTTTTGTGGAGGAGATACTTGTGTAGGGAAAGGAAACTGATGTAGGAGTGGGAATTAGGATGAGGATGAACACAGGTTGTGGAATTATGTATCATTAATTCAATCCCTTAGGTTAAAAAACTAAATATAAATTACTTTATTTTTTAAAAAGATTATTTATTTATTTATTTGACAGAGAAAAAGAGAGAGAGAGAGAGAGAGAAATCGATCACAAGTAGGCAGAAAGGCAGGCAGAGAGAGAAGGGGAAGCAGGCCCCCCGCTGGGCAGAGAGCCCAATGCGGGGCTCCATCCCAGGACCCTGAGATCATGACCTGAGCTGAAGGCAGAGGCTTAACCAACTGAGCCACCCAGGTGCCCCTCCCCCCCCCTTTTTAAGATTTTACTTATTTATTTGACAGACAGAGATCACAAGTAGGCAGAGAGGCAGGCAGAGAGAGAGAGGGAAGTAGGCCCCCCACTGAGCAGAGAGCCCCATGTGGGGCTCGTTCCCAGGACCCTGAGATCATGACCTGAGCCGAAGGCAGAGGCTTTACCCACTGAGCCACCCAGGTGTCCTATAAATTACTTTACATACATATTCCTAATTTTTTATTCCTTCTGAGCTTTTAACACACTATAGGTCATGTGTAAATAGTTTTGTCTTTATCCTCAGATATAAAACATGGAAGAATCCATTGTGGAAAATGCTAAAAGTTTATGTAATTGATAGATGATGAAAGCATGTAT